TGTAAAAGGAGCTCTGGGTATAGTGGTTAAAGTGTTGGCTGCTAATTAAAAGATTGGTGGTTTGAACTCATCAGCCACTCCGCTGGAGAATGATGAGGCAGTTTGCTTCCATAAACTTTTATAGCCTTGGAAACTATAGGGTGGTTCTACTCTGTCCAAGAAAGGGTCTCTATCAGTCGGAATTGATTCGATGGCAGTGGGTTTTAATACCCGATCTGTGTCAGTAGAACTGTGCTCCATAGGGTTTTCAGTGGCTGAGTTTTCAGAAGTAGATCTCCAGGCCTTTACAGTTTGGGGTGTCACCTGCAATTACTCTGGTCACATGCAAGGATGTTTTTTCTTTATTCTTAATATTGCCTTTTTCACTCAACAATATATCTTGGGGAAAACTCAGTACAAACAAAAGACGGCTCATTCTTTTTAAAAATTCCAGTTTCATTGTACTACTACTATTATTTCAACCTGATACTGTTGTTTATACTTCAGCATTGATAAGGCAATGAAATGAGTAAATAGATTCTGGAGTAGTCAGGAATGTCATCCAGCAGTGAAAGTAAATGCACTTCATTTGCATGTATCTGCATGAGGGAATCTCAAAAGACCTGTGGTTGAGCAGGACTCATCCTTCTATCTTTGGAGTTTTGAGTTTTGTAGTTTGTATGTATTCAAAATAGATGAATCCTTTAGGACCAGTAGGGGTTTAGATCATACCTGATTTTGGTAAATATCAATTATGTGTTTGTTTCTTTTGCTTTGCTGATTTGTATTGTAAATGTAGATTTACCAGGGTGCCATGGTTTTGAATCTTAGGAGATATATGCCCCATGGATTAAAAACTTGGTCATAATCGACACTTGTCTGGGGGGCAGGGACATTCGTTTTCACTTCTCCTTGATAGTTTATTTGGAAACTTGATAAATTACTATATTCATGGAAAAGAAACCCTTTAGATTGTTGCTATTTACTAATTGCTGATCTCTTTTATGCTTTAAATTGTAGATTGCCCTCTTAGACTCCCCTACAGCTTTAAGTATGGAGGAAAAACTTCAGCAGAATGAAGCAAGAGTAAGTGATACTTTTTGACTTTTAAATCATAACTTTCACTATTTGTTATGGATTGACTTGTGTCCCCCAAAAATATGTAATGTAAATTCTACCCCCCCCATACCATCAATGGTTGTAATCCTGTTTGGGAATGGGCTTTTTTTGTTATGTTGATGGGGCAACAGTACTAGTGTTGGATGTGCCTTTAGGCGTTTTCTTCTGAGATACAAAAAACCAGATTAAGCAGTCTGCCAGCATAGAGGGGGTAATAGATTCAAACCACATGATTGCCATGGAATTTAGGAATAGAAAAGACCTTTCGCCATGCTGGACAGAGAGAGAGAGGGACAACTTTCCCCTAGAGTTGGCACCCTGAATTCAAACTTCTGGTGCCCTAGATTGTGAGAAAATAAGTTTATGTTCATAGAGCCACCTGCTTGTAGTTTTCTGTTGTGGTACCACTACATAATGAAGGCACTTATTTTAAGTACATGCTTTTTAGTGCTTTTGTTTAAGACTCATTTTTTTCAGTTTTTTTTTTTTTTTTTT